TATATTTTCCAAAAAATCAACTTGACAAGAAAGACCTGGTTTCCCGCCTTTAACAAATCACACAGCTGCGTCAAGAAAACATTACGGTTTTTTTTTTTTTTCAGTCAAGTATGTATAACGTTATAACGGTAGAGTAGCTCAAACATAAGCCCAGAATTCAGTTCATTGCTGCCCGAATACATGAGCAGGACTGCAGGAATGTACTATAAGCGTCAAAAAAGAAGAACAGCGGCTAGCTTTCGCGATTGCATAGTGCGTTCCGTCCAGCTGTCACCACGGGCGTACAGGCATATGTGCGCAGAAGTGCCGAACAGTATGCGCGCGCCTGTCATCGGTGATAACTAGACGGCGCACACCACACTGTCGCGAATGCTTGCCGCTGTTCAGGTTTCATTTGACGCTGATAGTACACTTGCTACAATATGCACAATGATTGCTAAAATGACGGACCATCTCCCTGAAAGGAACCCTGATGGGATGCGAAGCAGCAGCGATGCGCACGGCGTTGACCCGGTTGAACGGGCGTCGACGCGGGTGCTAGAAGAATGATTTGAACTCGGTGTAGTGCTTACTCCAGTGAATATTTGTTTGAAACGCAAGAACACAGGAGATTGGTTGGGTTTCTTGCAAGTTTCATCGCAGATAAGCGAGCCGAAAAAGTGTTTCCACTCGTCGTACGGCCGAGTGTTGCGGGAGGTGGAGAGAGTGAAGTGAGAGTTTGTTGCGAGCGGGCAGAGGAGCCGGCAGCTGCGGGCGCTGCGGCAAGAGTGCTGCAGGTGAGGGAGAGAGTGACGTCAGCGCGCACCTGAGAGGAAAGCGTGGAAGGGGATCATGACATCAACGCGCAGCTGCGGCGTGACCTACATGGCACCACTGCAACACCTGGGGCAAGGGGAACGTGTTGCGGCGTGTTCGTATGGACGCACGTACGTACGACGTTACATGCGTTAGTCAAAGAGCTGCTTCGCATCTAATAACGATGACACTATAATCAAGCAGGTCAAGGGGGCACGCCGCTCGCTACTACACAGCCGCTCGAAAGATAACAACATGGAAGTGGTAAATAACTGACCTGCACTATTAAAAAAGGAGCTTTCGTGGCCATGGTCGATCGGCTCGTCTTTCGAACGAAGTGGTCTGTGTAGACGCACAGTGGCGTCCACTCTTGGGGTGAACATGGCTCTGTGTGGCAGTGCTCTGCGTAGTGTCAGTGCAGCCGGCGTGGCCACGCATTGAATATAAACAGCGCATGCGCAAGCGAGTAGGTTGCTCTTGCTGTGCTACAGACAAGCAAAAGCGGTGCTTGGCTACTACAGAACGGCACACTCGAGCTATGTAGCAGACGATGTAAAGCATATCCCGTGTGCCCATGTGCGCATGCCTAGCTGCGCTTCGATGCACGGCTACGCCGGCACACTGACGCTGCGTGGAGCGTGGTCACGCCAAGTCGTTGATTTCATTGATATGTAGAGTTTAACGTCCCAAACCCCCATATTATTATTAGAGATCCTATAGTGGAGGACATGCAACCGAATCTGAGCCCACGGACCTACACCATTCTCGATTCCATTGAAATTGCAGTCGGCACAGCCGGGATTCGATCCGCGACCTGCAGGTCAGCAGCCGAGTATCTTAGCCACTAGACCACTACTGCGGGGCACGCCGAGTCTCGATCACTCTAACAGTTTACAGCACTGTACACATTAAAAACACAGTGAGACTTTTGTGCTCATGGTGGTTACGGATGGCTTGATCACGTCGTCTGCGCTTGCTGGTCACAACGTCACAACGGCCACGTCACAGCAACATCACAGCTACGGCCACGTAACGCTGATAGCTAGTGCAAGCTATCGGGAGTGTTTACTAAATAGAGATTAATACTAGGCAAGGTACTTTTGTATTGTGTCCTGCATTTCCATTTGCACATGTAACAGTATATTTACGGAAATGCAGAGCGTGTAGCCAGCGTACAAAAGTCATTCCCACGCTATACACTGCGTGGGGAGAGAGAGATACGTGAAATGAAGAGCATAAAAAAGAGAATAAAATGTTACAAGCTGAAAACTAAGTATTATTAAATGTCAGGCATGCGCGAGCCGTGCAGCGAAGTCACATTGAAATACAAAAGAGCAATCTTTCAGAGCCTTTTTTTCTAAACACTCTCCGGGCAACTGCTACATGCACTCTGCTCGATACCCGCTACGCCATGAATAATCATAATTTTTGTGTAGCAGGCTATGCTATCCTTTGTCACTCTTTCGAAGAAGCATGGTACCCACTACACACTTGTTAAGAATTTTGTGCATTTTTTATGCAATGGCTGACAACGATGAAGAATTATGCCTGCAGTGGTTATGCGCTACACTTAATAGGTGATCAAGGAGAAGTTTTCTAATGGTTGAAGCATTTCACAACCCACCCCTTAGGCGATTCCCATTGTTTGACGCCGGACTGTTCATTTCATGTTCTAAAACGTTTTATTACTCCTATTAACACGATTCCTTTCCCGACTTCATGCCTGCCTATGGCCAGTTTAGAAACGAGTTTCAAGCACTGGCATGCCTCTTTGGTAAAATATTGGGCTGCCACGCAGCAGACCCGGGTTGTAATTTTATTTTTCATTGGTGTTTTTTTTTTACTTACTGATTTTTTTCTTTCGATACTGGTCTGTGACACCATCGGTGGCGGCGGCGGCGGTGGACAACTGCGGCGTCGCGCATGACTCGTGTTTTGATCTCATAACAGTTTCTGCTGTAAAATGGGGCAATGTGTCTTCAAACTCTTGGGCCATACCGTATGGTGGTGCGAGGTCTTTATTATGCGCATTATGTGACAGTGAGGTCAGAAATTTCACTGCACAGTATTAGAGTATTAACAATGACGGTGAAAGCATGTGGAGGGGGGAGGGGCGCTACAGCAAACAATGTTTTTGTAATGTTTAGACGGTCACCTGCGTTTTTCGGGTGTTCTTACAAGACCCGTGTTAATCATGACATTGTTCGGTGCGAAGTAGTTGTTAATGCATGACTACCTCTTTCGCCATCGAGGTTCAGCGCCAAAGTTATAAAATCACTTTATTGACCATTGTAGCTTTTCCGCAGGCGGTAAAGCACTCGAGAGACATTGCGCTGGGTGTATCACAATGCGGCACTTGCTGGGAGTACTCGAACAACACCGAAGGTCCGGGGGTACGCTCGAACTGTTGAGTGACGCAGTCCACGTGGCAAACACACTTCGTATATTTCAGCTGAACGTTTCCCACTCGGGAAGGTACCTAATGCGAACAGCTTTTTTTCGAGGTCTACGTAGGAGAAGAGCAGTGACATCAATGCACTTTACATTTGATCCAAATGCTGAATATCCCACTCGAAGACTCGAACACAACCGAACGGGCTCGAGCTTCCATGGCCAGGCTCGAACTCTTCAAAGCTGCGAATTACGTGGCAAATTTTCCTCGACGACATTTCCTGTCCCGAATACAAGCAGCGTTACCTCGGAGTGTTATGTAGAAGGCCAGTGACACCAATGCACACTGTGTGTAATCCAAATGCTGAATATTCCACTCGCAGATGATATGTCTTTGTGCGAAGAGTTCCCAGTGATCAGGGCACTTATAGATTTTTATGAGTCAGTAAAAATAACAGCTATCATGGCTATGTGAGCACATACGACGTTTCCTTCACGAGAGACACTCCACGGCAAAAAACAAAAAAAAGAGGAGGGGGGCACTGTTTTGTCACCACTGTACAGTTTCACTCATGAAGAAGGAATCGTAGGGAAGCACGTTGGGGTGGCGCACTCTATTGCACACATTGCTTGAGAATTGTTGATAATCACATGTCACGATACTGTCTGTCGATTCACTAGGCGAAAAACAAGCAACATTTGTTCGTTTTGGCTGTCACAGTGGTGGTACGAGACGTGCCAACGTTGCATCCTCGTGTCAGCAGACTTGGCACAGGCACATTCCTTGGAGAATATCAACTACCTGCAACAAAGAAACGGTGTTCGGTAAAGAAATATTTCACAAATGCTCGTTACATCTTAATGAAAGTTTATGTACACCAGAAAATTTGTTAAACGGGAAATGTCACTGCAGCTTTTTTTTTTTTTGAGACGCGTAATTGTCCTTGCCACGATGGGTGGTCTATTTATTTCTCGTACGTTGATATTAGGGTCGTTTTTTTTGTTGAACGTGTTCTTATGAACTCTAACATGCGTATTCCCCTAGCTTTTGCCTTCTTTGAAGGGATGCTTTAAAGTTGCATAAAAGCCAAGTTTAGTATAGACACATGTTTTACTTTCATCTATGACTGTTTAAAGTATTATATAAAAAAGAAGCATTTGATTATGAAACGTTGATTCTTATACTTGATCATTCATGAACGATGTCGTTTGAGTATGACGTCAGAGTAATTTGATACCAGCACTATCACCCCTGGTCGTCACACGCGAAGAGGTCTTACGGAGCTTTTTCTCTCTGATTAAACCACTATCGTGGGATGCACTCACGTTTACTCTCACTCGCAATCAGAACATCGAAGATGCACCGAGATGTTATCGCCCTTCAAATTTATACAGAGCCTTGCGGAGACCGACGAGACCGACGACAGTAACCCACTTGGTGTGCCCCGCAGGTGTTATTGCAATGAAAACTTGTATACCTGCATAGTGGTAGTAGGAAACTAAAAAGAACAATAGCTTAGCAGAACGGGGTCGGGCTTATTTATATGTACACTTCTTATTACACTTATAAGCAAAAATTACTAATCTTGCTATGTATATATTCATGCCCCCTACGTTTCTGATGGTGTCCCGTACTCTCTTTCTTACTCCCGAAGTTTTTTATTGACATGTGTTTCATAGTGCTTATCACCACACTACAACATTAAAACATTCTTTTTGTTTTCTTACAGACAGGAAGATTAAAGAAAACACCCATTAAATTGAAAAGAATCCTCGTACTCTGTTCAATCAAAGCCTTTGGCGATCCAGGCCAAGAACACTGTGAAACATCCGCCGCTACACTTCAGACTGTGCTCTCGAGTGAGTCGTTGGAAAGCACTGAACCGAAGTCCTCCAGGTTGCTGCGTGAGCGACGAGGCAGCCTGTGCGCTGACGCCAGTGGTCTGAGCACGCCGCTGCGAGGGAAATCCACGGGACCCGTGCCATTGCCGTCCGGTGACACCTGGTCCAGGTAGAAGCGCTGTGGCCGAGGCAAGCTCGCGGTGGACCCGACGGGACCCAGTCGGCGTGCTGTTATTGGAAAAGCCAGTTCGACACCCGAAGCTCCCAACGCTCGATCCTCCTGCGAACGACAAATCGCCAGAGGTTCATTGCACTCTGTTAAAATTTGCGCTTTCAGCACTGGTTACCATTCGTGGCAAACTACTTCGCTGCACAACCTCTAAGCGGCGCAACTGCCTCTACCGAGATAATAACAGCCACCGATGAGGACTATGTAACCGGCTCTAGTACGAGTGTATATACACACTCCGCATGCAAATCAGAAAGCAAAGCCTTGCCTTACGTAATACACGTGCGTCCGTCAAGTAGTATCCGCTGAAGTTTTGTCGCAAAAGGATTTGAAATGTGCGTGCTTGCGTGAATTGCAGGAAAGCTTACGTTATTGGTACAGTGGCTTCTCCATGGAAATTCGGCTGCGCCAGCCTTCCTTGTGGATGCAGGAAGAGTGCAGTAGTTCGTTAGAGGCTCCTTTGCATACTCTGCTTTTTCATCTTGATCGCAACCGTAAGCTGAAACAGTAAAGCAAAAGAACATATGATACGTGGGTATGATCAAGCCGACATTTACAGCCGAAACTGTGATGAGATCACTTTCGGGTCACGCGCAGTCGTCGTTGTCCGCCGCCACTACCGCCGGTGTCCGTAACCACATCGCGCGAAAATAGAAAAAAAAAACTTGCACCAACGACACAGTGGGGCTTAAACCCGGGCCCGCTGGGTACAAGCCTAATACCACTGAGTAACGCCGGTGTTTGTCACTTCTTGTCAAACTTGCCTTAGGCAGGCATGACCTAGCACCAATGGCACAGTGGAACTCAAACCCGGGTCCGCTGGTTGCCAGCCCAGTATTTAACCACTGAGATACACCGTTTTTTTTTTTTGCTTTATTGCCCGTTCATACGCACGTACATCAAACCACAAGCACAACAAAAACAAGCAGTAGCAGTCCGACACAAGCTGAAATTCCCTAAGTGCTGCCAAGGGCTCTACCCTCGACAACTACTCAGGTACTACAATCCCCTGAGTTTTCTGCAGTTCAACAAACTTGGCCATATATTCACGGAAATACATTCGTGCAGGCCATGCATCCTGATTGCAATAACACCCGCCATACGGGCCTGCCATAAACAGTGAAGGCCACATAGGATAATCAAATCAAAAGGCATTACCTCTTGGTCCACCATTGGCAGAAACCTTATACCATTACAATTTAAAGGTAATTACTTCTTTAACGTCCTTCTTTTTAAAGCTTGACCCAGGTACATTACCTGTCAGGTACATTTGAAGCAGACCGTGGTTTTTACTCACCTTGAAAGACAATTTGCCTTATCTGTGAAAAACCGGAAACTATAGACCATGTTTTCTTACATTGCTGGGAGGGAGTACATCTTTTGGATATGTACTTCAACTGAGCTACACCAGTTCCTGTGACTTGTTGTCGAACTTGCCTTAGGCAGGCTTGATGTCGGGAAAGCAGTCACGTTAATACGACTTACAAAGTGCTTTACAACAGCAAAAGAACAACCAATCGTCGCACAATGCGAGTAGCGTAACGAGTGGGCCGTCCAATGATCCAAACCATCACAAAAGCTTGATCTTGCGCATACCCACTTCAGCCATAATTCCCTATCGTCGTCAACCACTGCATGGACAGTTGGCGCAAAATTCCTTGCAAGTGTCTAACGGATACCACGCTTCTCAGAAAAATGACAAAAAATAGTATAGCGAATGCGGGCCTACTACCCAAATGTTTATTATCAATTCCCTAGTGGGTACAAAGCAAAAGAGTGCTTGCATTAGTTGCCCAATGAGTGTTTTCAAAGGTCTCTGAAAGGCCGCTCTTCTAGCTTTCGCTGTGACTGTGCTGCGCCTACCATGAGGCCTGGTGTCTATTATACCATGCAGGCCTGGTATATATATATATATATATAGATATATATTATATATATATATATATATATATATATATATATATTATATATATATATATATATATATATATATATATAGAAATTGGCTTGAGCGGACAAACGTGCGAAAACGTTTTGTGCTCCGACGTTTCGGCCTGGAGCAATAAACGTTTTCGCGCGTTTGTCCACTCAAGCCAATTTCTATCATCACTGGATTCACAGAAGACACTCGCTGGATATATATATATATATATATATATATATATATATATATATATATATAGATATATATATATATATATATATATATATATATATATATATATATGCGGTAGAAAAGAGGTCGACAAACGTGCAAAAACACAAGTTTTACTAACGTTTCGGCAGGTGGGCCTGCCTTCGTCGGAGGCAGGCCCACTCCGACGAAGGCAGGCCCACCTGCCGAAACGTTAGTAAAGCTTGTGTTTTCGCACGTTTGTCGACCTCTTTTTCTACCGCATTTTCCACCGGATCCATTGAATTTCACCCCACCGTATATATATAAATATATATATAAATAAATATATATATATATATATATATATATATATATATATATATATAATATATATATATATATATATATATATATATATATATATAATATATATTACACGGAATGCTGTACTGCAATGCTTGCTGGATTTTAGGAATAAACAGGAACGCCGTTTTTGCGGCGAACATTTTGGAACTCTATTTGACACTTATTCATTAAAAAAGCACTTTGGCTGCCACATGTGTTGCTTCGTCAACTTTTATGTTATCTTTGTCCATCACACTCACATGCTGACGTTGTTGCTTACAGCATTTTTCAATGTATCGGCTAGAATGTGCATTTTATTATTGCAAATTACGCAATAACCAAACCTCTATTGATCTTAAATTTTCAGCTGTAACAGCGTTTATTATAAAACGTATTATTTTCTAACACACTCAGAAACACACAAATTTTCCAACTTATATTTCTGGTCAGATTGGGTCATCTCTCTTGATTTTGATTACGTCAAATTCTATAAAGGCTAGAAGTGGCCGCTCAAGATTAAAGACTCTGATATATAAAATGCAGACATGCGGATATTCTTTCAAAAATTAAGAAAGCGATGGGGAAAAATGCATGGCTGATCTATTATTATTTGTAGCGCTGAAGAGAAATTTACTATCACAGGGGTAGTTTAATGTTTATTGTGCATTATTTCGCCACAAAGGCAAAACTATGAATGCGATTGTAGCTAAGTTGAATGCCACGCGATTGAAATCAAGCAGCTCGAATCTTGCAGCTGGTGCATAAGCAGAAATAACGCACGAAAAGAAAATACACGGAATGACTGCGAAATACTGTCACAGCTTGAAACTTGAAGTGCGCCGCTCAAACATAAAAAAAAGCTGAATAAACGAACGCACAGGTATACGCAGGATGAGCGCGAGGAACTGCTAGAGCTGTTAATTCTTTGTGTGTGAGTGGCGCGCTATTTTCGGAAACGGGGCCACTACAGCTAATGAGTTAGTCTTAATTCGGGCTCTCTAACTTCAACGCAAACTTGCGGCGCAAGCACAAAACGTATAAGCCGCACGCATCGCAGTATAAGCGTGGCCGCACAAGCTCCCACGCCCCGTAGAGGTACGTGTGCATCGTAACACGCAGAACGACGGCGCACTCAACAGCACCCTTTTTTTCTTTCAGTTATTCGCAATTTCTAAGCATCTATTTTACCACGCCACATTCGTGACATAAATACGCCATTAGAGCCTTGGTGATCCCCGGCATAAAATAATTAGTGGTAAAAGCTGCAACAAAGAGAGACTTCAATTTTTTTTTATTACTGGTCAATTGCTCAAACAGTTATTAACTGAACAAGCAAGTAACTGATAAAGCTATCAGAGTTTATTGCTGTGCTCTCGCGTCGCAGTAAGCTGACGAGAAAGACTTTGGGGACAATAATCTACAACTATTACAATAAATCTTACAAGAAACCTATATTGCCCGGTGCAGTTGCCCCACTATGCAATTGTGCCTAGAATGAAACAGGCTATTTCGACACTGCACCTACAATACCGTACATTTATATGTAACTTGGCAGAGTGGAGTATCTGGTATGATGTCGGGACCCTTCTCTTCAACGTCCGTGAAGTCGTCAGCCTCCTTCTTCAGAAGGGTGTTGGATCTTAAATGGCAAGAATAGTTGTTATGGAATCTTATCAATTATTCGAAAGTCAACAAACTAGCACAAGTAGGAAAGCAAACCTTGACAGCCTCAAAGTGTACCATAGTTAGATATTTAAGACACAGAGTTGGCCTTAAGCGTAACGCTAAAAAAACGGAAAGTATCCACAACGCTTGCTATGAAGAAGAAAGCGGCAGCTAGATTGAAATCGTTTATTTTGTCATTCTACACTTTTCGCTGCCTTTTTTAGATATTTAGCCTTGTATCAATAGATATACACTTATGGGGATGATGTTAAGCCAGAAAAAGAGATAGCTCAAAGCTTCGTGTTGCCTATCGAGTTCCGCTCAGTGATTCTTGTAGAGACTTAATGATTTAAGAAAGCACTTCTTCCCGACACGTGGTTGCTAAAAGACAGCTCAGATGACGCCTTGCAGAAGTACTATAAGCTAAGCACAACCAAGTTGGAAAAATGCTGTGGTACGAATAACACTTATTGAGTGTTCCGTGCTGTATATATAAGCTATTTATTTTGTGAAATGTTCAGAAGTGAATGAAGTCAGGTACTTACTTTTCATCGCCAGGCTCAGTGTATGTGTCTGAATGAAAACAGAAAAAAAGAAAAGGCAGGCGAAAAATAGAGTAACAAAATGGCAGCATATTCGTGCACTAATAGTACAACAAGGACTACAGTTACTGTGGAATAGCGACCACATCTATAGGCTAAGATAAAAGTGACCGACAGCCAATCATTGTCAGTGTTGCACCGAGCAGGGCGTTAGCACAAGATGTGTTCATGTCCGACGTTCATGTCCATAGCAAAATTGTTTGGAGGAGAGGAAAAGGTTCAAGCTCCAAAAGTTTTTGAAGTCAGCAGGCTCATGCAAATGCGAATAGTAGTCAACCCCCTCCCTCTCCCCAGAAAAACAGTTTACATCTTTGATTCAAACGTCAGAAAGGCTTGTATTTTTCTTCTTTACTTTTCACACAGCGCTGTGAAACATTTGCGTACAGCAAAACTAAAGCATGAAATTCGGGCCAAATTATATAAAAGAATAATTTAATTAAGGCATTGGCAGTCGCTCTTAGTAGCTTTGTGAACTATTATAATGCATACTAGTTCATGTACTGTATCCAGTGGGCCCGTTAAATCATGGAGGAAAAGTACATCCTGCTGAATATCAAAGCCGAATTTCTTTAACCGAATTTTCACGCCTAGTAGCAAATTAACAGTATTTTGACCTTACTTGTTTTTGCTCTTTATTTTTTATCTTCGTCTGCCAATCCTGCAGTGGTGTTTTACTTATTTATGTTGCAGTCCTGTTTAAGGCTGTAGTACCTATTTCAACATCAATGACTTCGTGTTTGCTAGTGCTCAAACGTGCAAATCAGGTAGATACCTTTCTGTTGAACTGACAGATGCTCTGTTGTGTTCTTAGTTTTCCAATAATGAGAGCATACTTTTGTTGTACTGCGTATCGCTTTATAACTGCGTTTTGCGAGGCAAGCCGGCCTTTCGTCAAACAGTGAAATACTTTCCTATTTTTTATATCAATTACAACTTACAAATAGCACCATTTATACATTTTGTGGCCTCATCATTCGATATAGTATTCATTAAAACGGGGCTTTCGATCAATTCCACTTCATTCGTTTAACAACGTTTAGTTGGTTTCATCACGTGAATTATTGTAATGTTTGAGAACTCTTACACCACTAAAAATTGGGGCATTCTTAAGCTTCACCTTTAAAAGCTGAATGCAACAGCGATATTTTGTCCCTGGTGCTTACTTCAAACACTTAGTGCATGAAACCTTAAGGCTCAGGGCCTCACCTCTCAAAACCTGGGCGTCCAGCTGGCCCGCGCGAGGGTGGTCGAGTTCAACCTGACCATCCCCGAGTGGGCCTAGCAAGGTGATGCTGAGTCAACTCACGTGTATTGTGGACCCAATATAGTTGTTTCCTTCACTCACTCACTTGCTTTGAACCCACTAAGTGGCCTTAAGTGAATGGGCGTTGTAACATATGTGCCTTTTGCAGTGGGTGACCGGCTTTAAATTATTAAGTCCCAAAGATATGCACATGCTCTGACACCCGATGGGACTGTATAGGCTTGTTTCGCGCATTAATGCTGCAATATTTAATATTGTTTTTCGAAGCGTCCTTGTATATAGGACACCTCGAGGCGTCCTTGCGAAGCGTCCTTGCGTCCTTGTATACAGGACGACCGCTTTTGTAAAGCATGAAAGCTATTTTCGCTCCATTTTCAAGCAGAGGAAGTTATTATTCACTGTATTGACAAGCAGTCACGTGGCTGTGTAGAACAACACCCACTTTTCACTCAAAGGACCCAAGTTATATCCCTAATTAGACGAAGAAATTCTTATTATATTTCATTTGCCTCTATCTGAATATTTCGGTCACGCGCAAGATGATTTTTCACTCACAACCAGTGACGCTGACACCGACGCCGGAATTTTCACGAAACGAGCTCTTTCACGCTAATCTGCTAACATGAGCGAAAAACTGTTTGTTTTGTGTGTTTTTACACCTGATTGGGAACTAAACGTGTAATGTGAACACAAACTTGCTTGCAAAGTGCTTTTTGTCACCTTTGGGAGTATTTTTGTCGTGGATTCACACGTTCTAGGACAGTGTGTTTGCTCACCCAATATTTATTTTCTTTATATATGAATACAATGTTAAAAGATGTCAAAACACACCTCGCTTCCTCTTCAGGTATTTGTACTTGACATACACCACAATCACCACTGCTGCGATAAGCAGTGTGACTATTAGGCCGAGAAGCGCTCCTATTACTGGCCAAGCGGTGATCATACCCCGGCTTCCAGCTGCAACAAAACAGACAGAGACAAGTGCTGTCAACACAAAGTGACAAAACAGTTGCAGAATTAATTATGTCTGCACATTTCATCCACTTTCCTGAAATACGGTCCTTTCTGTATTTGTATAATTTTAGGCTAGCTAAGCTTAACTGGTAGAATACAAGCTCCGAGCATAAGACACCCGCAAATGCAGTGGTTAAATAGATGCGTTGCCTAAAAATTCTTCGAAAGTGTTAAAAATCCAGAACCAAATTCTAGAAGTAAAGGCTTCCAAGCTGCCAGGTTACCAAAATTACTAGCTCCATAAAAGATAACTGGAGTGTGTCACGTAAGGAAGGCGAGCTGGGGCAGCTACTCGGAACGTGTCAGTGGACGCACAACTAATCTTTAGTATTTATAATGAACAAAAAAAAAACAGAGTTCACACGGTATCTTTAGAGCACATTATAACAGCAGCTGTACTGTAAAGAACTTGTACTGTAAATCTCATTGAGATAAATAGAGAGCAGAAAACTACAAAAGTTGCTCTTTATATGCACTTAAATCTTGTTTCTTTTAGAGAGTTCAATGCACCCGTTGGTGTTGTCAGCCAAGCGAAATACCTAGCGTGTATAGTTGGAGATCGTAGCAGTGCAGTTGGCGCGGTTAGTAGTTATCGCGGTCGTGAGTCATCACGCTTGGTACAGATGCAGTGTCCTGTATTCATTTTTAGAAACTGGAAGCGTTTCTTGAACATGGACTAGTGACGCGGAGACAGCGAAATGTTTGTCATGGTACATGATGAGACCAGAAAACGAGCCATACCAAGACAAAAGTGATGGGAAGTTTGTAGCATGACATAAACTAGTTATCCGTAAGTGCTCGAGAACTTACACTTGTCAAGAAAATCTAGCAATCATTCACCAAGCAAAAAAAGTTTTCTTTCCAAAGGGAACCCTGAACGATGCGAGGCAGCAGCGTTGCGCACGGACGCGATCGGCATTTTTTAATCGCGCCTCGTCGGTGTCATTAAATCGCTTCAGCGCATGTTTAGGCGGGCGGGGGAGCTTCGCTTTCCGATGTCCTCTCCATCACAGATAAATGAGCCGAAAGGACGTTCACTTGATGTGCGCTCGGACGTGGTGAGTGGTGGAAAGGATGAAGCGAGAGAAGAAAGGTGACACGCACAGAGCGTGTGACAGGCGAGAGAGAGGGTGGCGTCACCGCGCACTGCGAGGGATGGTGTGACCTACTTAGAACCAACCCAACACCTGCGGTTGGGGAAGGGGGTGTGGCGCGTTGGCATGGAGACACGGACGGACAGCGTTACGCAGGCTAGTCAAAGAGCTGCTTCGCGTTTAAAAGAGTTGAAGTCTAAGGCTATAGAAATAAAAGGTAACAAACAAAAGATAACGGTATGATCTACCCTTATCACTATCACAATGGCAAGTTAGAAAAATATTGGTGGTGCGCGAGCCTAATGGGAACATGGCCTTCAGGCGCTCCAGTAGGCGAAGTTCTAACATGCGGTGCTAAAGCGAATCAGTTTTGTGTTTTCCAGCGTGCTTCATCGCAGGAAGCGTCCACGTTGCGGCTTGCGCACGACGGCGTCGCTGCATCACAAATCAGTCATTAGGCTGGATTTACCGTGCATAGACAATGCCGGGTGCATCGAGTGCTAAGAAAAAGTAAAGACGACATCAACAGCGGAGTAAAATAGTAACTGCAGTAAGGCGCCGAAGGGGAACGCTGCCATCAGCGCGCGACACTTCGCGAATAACGAGAAACGGATCGTCAAGCCAGATGGGCTTTCTAACGCGCGTGTTTTTTGGTAACGCCGGCTGCGAAGGCGAGCTATGGAAGCACATCTGCTGCAGCTGCTCTCGCCCACTGAGACCACGCGGTGCCGCACCGTGCGTGATTACCAAGTGGCAAAATAATTGTACTGGCTCGAAAACATGGAAATGAGCTCCCTTTTCGACTTTAGTAGCACGCATTTATCGACACATGTTCCGTTTCGTGGTGTCCTGTTCCTCTTTTCACTACCCGTTACGACAGGCTGAAAGAAAAGAAGAGAGCTTTTGATGGTAGATAACGTATTGCGCAAATTAACTCAAAAGGAGTTTTCGAAGGTCGGGTTGCTGCATATCAACAAAAATTTCTTAGCGCAAGAAAAAAAAAAAACGCAACCTACTAGAAAGACACTACAGGCAAGCGTATGTGCCTTGTGTGCATCTCTCGTGTGCTGCGTTTTTTTTCCTTTTCTTGCGCTAAGTAATTCACGTCAATACTCACAATGTACATTCTTTTTCCCGCTCTTTTGAAACAGTTAAATAAAGCAGGACGCAGTTTATGGTGCTCTAGAAGGGGTACCTAGGTAATAGGAAGGTCGTGTACCTGCTGCCTAATTTTTTAACATTATTAAAGCAATCCGAAAACATACTAGACTGCTGAGATGTACAGTCAGCCACATCTTTAGCCATCACGCATTTGTAGCAGTTTTTTTTCTGTGTATCTTTGCCAGACGACTAAGTTTTGTTAAAAAAATGTGTGGACAAGTGTATGCCCACAAAGCACATGTACACGAGGCAATTTTTTTGTAACTCCATTTCATAATATGGCGCTGAAAGACGAAAAAGTGACCACTTCGCACAAAAGTTATAGCTCTGGCTGTCTGTACATTCTGTTGATCGGTTGCATTCCTGTCTTGTATTTTATGTATAGTGTAGTGCACTTGAGTTTCTATTGTACTGAGAAACTATTTTATAGCATACAGTTAGGTGCAGATGGTCTTTCTTTCTTGTATTTTATGTAAAGTGTAGTGCACTTGAGTTTCTATTGTACAGAGAAACTATTTTATAGCAGATGGTCATGCGCGGACATGAAAGAGATTAAGAAGGATGCAAGAAAGGGAAGACGTGATTAAAAGGAAACTATGAAACTGCATAAAATACGTTCTCTAACTTCAGTTTGTCTTTTACCCACTTCCTTCAATTTCATAAAGAAATTATCAGCGCGGGAATTCTAAAAAAAAAAGTCAGGCAAGGAGGAAAGTGAAGTGGCGGACTGTGAGAGTGACATTTTTCAACGCCACTTGGAATCGCTGCGATGGATTTGGCTGGGACAGCCGCAGCGACCCACGCAGAGTAAGCCCTCCTTTTTTCTCTTGAAAGAAAACGGTGTGCGGCTCAAGGGATGTCAACGATCGCCTCGTAGACGGGTCAATTCAGTGCTCTATGTAGCAAGCGCATAGTGGCTGCTCGTTTTACGCCGCCATTCTGCTGTCTTCCGAGCTTCTTTTGTTCTGTGGACATTTTTATTGAGATCGTTTGCGTTTGGCCGTCCCCATACCAATGGCAATCAGGAGGATGAAATGGAGAAAATGGTCTGTTTGGCCTGCAAATCTAGCATGTACATTTTTTTAAATATCAGAAGCCATCACGAGGGAACAATAGAACGACCGCTCCAAAAGCAGGTGTGTTTTAAGCTGTTGCCTATTTATTGCGTGTGCATTATGCAAAAGACGGAGACTAAAATAAGATTCTCCGCCATTGTAATGCTGGAGTTCATTTTAAAGTGAAGCAAAGAAAAAAAAAGCTGCTATTAGGAGTTTAGATTTACGTGCATTAAATGAATAAATTGAGTTACAGACAGATTTTATACGAGCTTCCGTAACCAAATAGGGGTGCAAGATATTTTATGGAACTTCGTTATAAGAGTTTCTGAGAACGCGGATGAAGCTAATATACGAAAATGCGTACGATGTATCGCATAGTACAGATGTTTGCATTAGCAAAAAAATTATTGTTGTACTATTAAGTTGCTAAATTTTAAATAGCATAAAATGTCAGGACCAGCGGCATGTATTTTGATTTCCTCTCAGTAGCGATAACTCCATCAGTATCTTTTATTTATGGTTGACAGGAGAAATCAGCCAAATTTTTGTATAACATATGCTCTTTCCCAACTTGGCGACGTTTTAAAGCCTCGAACTAAGTTCTTTAAAGCGCACGTTCAGGAACAAAGTGCTCCACAGCCGAGTTATCCTGGCAGTGCCGCCATAAATGCTTGCTTTAAGCGCCCGGCTTCTCGTCCATCGATGCATCTCGCGTGCCGCGACCACGCTCACAGTAAAGCGTTCAGAAGACTATAAAATATATACTATCAAAGCTCAAAATGCGGTAAAGTAAACGAAAAAGGCCAAAAATATGATAAGTAACATATAACGTAGAAGTAAATTAATAGCACTAACTAACTCAACATGATAACAGATATTTTATAACATGTCTGAAGACTCATGTTTGAAGATAACATGTCTGATAACATGTCTGGAGACATGTATGATAACAGTCTGAGGGCTCTGGGGTGAAACAGAGGGCCCCACCGTCTCGCCAAGTGAACGAATGGCCATCCTACGTTTCTACATATCTGCTGGGGGAAAGAACTTGACGCTACAATTGACGTCGGAAACAACGTGACGAAACTCGGATACCGACAACACGTATCTTTACAGTCGTGACCAACAGGAAGTCGTTAGAACACAGCAAAAGGTACCACTTATCACGCAAACCAAGCTCGCGAATCTGCCTTGTACTATTCTGTCGTGGCGGGTGAACCCTGCATGCCTAGCTCCAATCGACGCCATCGTTGCTTCGGAAACGGAGCTGTGAGAGCTTTATGAATATGAATCGCTGGGTACCCGCAATACGCACAACTTTAGGTTTCCCGGCAGTGGAGCTTCCCTACGTTTCTTTTGCAACAGTACCACATAATAAGGCGTACACACAGTCGTCTTTCATTTCATTGAAATACTCCGCATGCTATTAGAATTACACTATTTTGTTTATTATAGAAACGTCCAACAACAACACATCTAGAAGAAGTGTTTTAACACAACAAGTAAAAAAATGTTTGGGGGAGTTTACAGTAGAAAAACCACAATATGACTATGAGGGACATCCCACTGGCAGGCTGAGAAAGTTTAGACCCTTCGGGGTTTTAACGTGATCCTAAATTTAAGTACACGGGTTTCAAGCGTTCTCGTCTCCATTAGATATGTGGCCGAGGCGACCAGGTTACAATTTCTTCAAATCCGTTTCACCAAACAGAACAGCAAGATCCACTTTAAAGTACGCTTAGATAAAGAAATGTAGACACTATTACGCGCTTTTCCATAGACAGGTCTTAAAATTACACCGTAAGAACTTTAGCTATACAAAAGGGCAGCTTAGTGATCGCCCGATTAGTACAGCATTGCTGGAACGTCTATACAAGGTAGGCTGGTATAGCTACGGGTCTTAGCAGGCTAGTATAGAATTGGCGTGCACGCAGAAGCACTGCACTCACCCGTTAGCTTCTCAGCTGGCCGCAGTGTGCTGACGATGAAGTCTACGGGAGACCGGTGTCCCTTGGGGTTGGCCGAGTAGAGGAACACCCGAAAGGTAGCGCCTCCTTCGAGGCCGCTGAAGCTGAATGCCGGTCCAGACATGGAAGAGGCGTTTGCCACGAGCCGGTCGGTGTCGGCCTCGCGTAGTTCAGCCACGAACGTAACGGGCGCCACGCCGCCATCCCAGAAACCTTCGGAGCACTCGAAGGACACCGAGTCTTCGGTGCCATTGATCTGACTGCAGTTGTTCACCTGCTCCGGAGGGCCTGCGTTGTTGTGGGTGTAGCAAAGTTAAAAGAAGCCCGAATGAGGGCATTGCTAATACTTCATGAGCATGGGAGTGTGTTGAGCAATGACACTTGTTGATTAAGAATATGCACGATGCCCGATAGAGAATTAGGCCATGCCTAAATATACTACAGAAATGAGTGATGTCAGTGCACATTCATTTCTGAATTTTATTGATCAAACAGAAAGTGAGAGAAGCCACGACGATAAGGAATAATAATAGATAGCACTTCATTCTTCATTGCCAGTCCCAGCATACGCTTAGCTTGGCAGCACTTATGTGGCACCAATCACTTAGCTGTGGTACAGAGAGTGTCTATTTGTAAATAAGGATGCTCTTATTTATTTTTAATACAAAAGACGCGTTAGTTGGTGACAAAGAAAGAAGGTTCTACATAGAACTGGAAATAAAGCGTCATGTATTTGCACTCTACATATTTTTATTGAAACTCTGATTAGTAGAGGTTGGTCGTTCTGTGGAGGCTCCAGCTCTACCTGCTAGCTTGTCAAACGAAGTATGCGGGACTAAAAAATATATGAGGCTTAAAATATGTCATGCAGTAGAGCATGATGTGCGCAAACAATGTGCATTCTAATAGCCTATGCGTGAAAAATATTAAAAGCACGAGTTCTGTCAGCATTTGTGTGGTGTTCGATATCACACAATGATTCATAGGAGCCTGCCGACAAAATAAATGCATTCTAGTCTGTCCCCACCGTGAATGATGGTGATGAGAGTTTGACATAAAACCAAGATTGTCGCTTATATACGAACAATGAAGTCAAAAAAACGGTGTCTCAAAGTAGTCTATGCAGACAGTTTCGAGTACAGTGGGACAAGCATATACATCTACATTCTTCTTTAAGCAAAGCCGCATTGCACTGCGTTGGAATTGATGAGCTCGCACCACGAACGGTGCTCACTCACCGGCTGGAACGATGGTGAAGTTGCAGGGTATCTGCTGCTTGCCGATTTCGTTATCGCCCCAGCAGAGCAAGAAGCCAAAGTCGTCTTCGTTCAGCGGTGAGTAGAGCGCCGTGCTGCGTGTCAGGGCGTGGCTGTAACTGGCCAGTTCTAGGCGCTTGCCACTCGAGGAGCTGTTGAAGCGCCAGTGGAAGGTCACGTCCGTCGGATCAGCCTCCAACTCGCAGCGCACGGACACGGACTCGTGACGCGACACGCCGTATATGTGCTTTTGGTCCTGCCTGCACACGGGGGCGTCTGCAGGACAAGATGACGCAAATTCGCCTGATTTCTTTCACTTGAGATACCTAAAAAATGCCTACTGACCGCGTCGCATAATTTGCAGCGTATCTTCCTTCCGGTAGCTGTGTGTACACTCGTAAACAGTTCTCCAGAAATTGGGCCTTCAATTTGCTCCAGAACTACTGTCTCAACACGTTATTGAGGAATGTGTTCTTCTTTTTTCACAGCAATTTTATGGTTGTCATCACGCAGAAAAGTTTAGCGTATAGTGCTTCGTTTCGCAACAAGTATACCATCTTCCCCCAGTTCTGGATTGCCCCATTCTTCAGCCATATTATGTACTGTACTGCAAAAGGCATCACCACGTGCGTTTGTTTCAATCAATAGAGCGTACTTTGATCAATCAGTACTGACACATACCTTACGGGAGTGGGATAACCTGCCCGCTTGCCTTGTAAACATAAGTTTGCGAGCAATTAAACAATGCAGAAGAAAAGATTGTATACTACGGTTGTATTTAACCCAATGTTTCTATTCTACTTTTCTTTTTGTCTTTTCCTTTGTTGTGCTTTTACCTGTCCTCCTGTTTAACCTTTAGGAATCCCGACTAATATGAGTACATATAGTGAAATGAAATTATTTTTTTGACTGTGGTAGTGGTTGTACTTAAACAAAGAAAGGGAAACATACAGGCTTTAGAAAAAAAATTTCGCGGTATCAGCAATGTTAAACGGATCCTGAAATAGCAAAAGTAGGAAGAAATTTCATATGTCACGTTTAAACTCATGTAATTTTGTTATGAAGATAATTATTTCTCAGCTTGATAAACTGAACACAGCAAAAAATCATAATTGACAACATTACACTGTTTAGCACTCCCATTAAATTCACCACTCATTGCTTTCCAGTTCTAAATAATCCTCCTAAGTATTGTAATATTTTCATAGAGGCTGTAAGCTTATACATTACAATTGTTCAATGCATTTGCTGCAAAAGCCGACATCACAGGAATGAATTCATGGCTCTTGAAGAGGAACCCACGTGCAAACTTCATTCAGTCTATTCAGAAATTTGCTCATCTTTTAGAATACTCGAGAAAGCCGCCATTTCTTAACCATAACCTTAGTGTCCCGTTACTTAAGCCTGCTTTTCTAATTCACCACAATGCAGTATATTCAGTTCAAGGCTGTCAGATTAAACAAATACTCTTGTTTATATTTATTTATTCAAAAGTGACTAATGCCTTTCCCAAAATATGTTTTCTCATAATCAATCTTTGTGTTAAAATACTTTAATATGCAACAGGGTGTCTACTTGGGCTGGTTGATATTACGCTTTTCTGGTGGTAAGCAAGCATTCTTCTCCGAAAGGCATGTCGCATCAGCGCTCTGTTCTATCTGACTTTTTTTTTTTTTTTGAAAGGTTTTATGCACAAAGGAAGAACGGGCTCACAACTACCTTTGCAGAACTCTGCCCCCGATAAGGATTGCCACCATCTCCCCTCACAATGATTTGACACCTTGAACATCCAGCCATATTTAATGGCTGCATTCGCAATGCCCATTTTGTGTAGTCAATGCACAGTCGAATCGGCTTGGACATTCCACGTGTACTTGATTATTGCAAGCTGTCCGTTGCAAACAGTCACAAGCCTCTTTCCTGCTTCCCCTCGGCCGTGGAAAGTGGTAAACCTACGTCTCTCTACTCAAATATTGGCCGGTAGACTGCTTAGGCTTACGCAGGGTAGTGACTAATTTGCTGCAGTAGCAAATAATTTATTCATATTTATCGTGACAAATCTTGTTATGAGAACATTTAACGATAGCTCTATGCGAGCAAAGTAAAAAGATCGCATCACTCACTTGTTGTTTTACGGTCATAAATATAACAGAAACATTGTAAGTGACGTTATGCTGCTCTTTTATAGGAATACTTCAGCTTGTCGTTTGAAAAGTGGAGTAGAAACTCGTCTCTTACAGTGCGCATAATTTATGCCACTACGCCCAACTTCAAGCCCAAATAATTTTCTGAATAAAATGGTCTACATATACCAAATTTTTATTTCTTAAGTAAAAAACGCAGAGCGACAGCACTTGGCCTTGTCGCTGAAGCACGATTCATATCTGAGCAGCATTGTCAAACCGCACTAACCGCCTCACGACACCGATGAGTTGGTGACGAAGCCAGCCAAGCTTGTGCATGTCTGTTAAACCTGCCGCTGACTTAATAAATCAGTGTGTGTATAGAAGCACCCTGAGAAAGACAGCTTCAGGCAGTTGTAGCAAGCGTGCTTGCAAGAAGCGGACCCCCCATCACTTGCAAAGTTGTTGGTCCAGCGGAAAGTGACGATTTCACAGCCACTGGACATATTCTTTATTACGTAATCTGTATTTCTACTTGACCTTTTGCTAACGGAAAAGGCTGATCCCCCTTATTGGGAAGAGCTACCAGGGACATTGCAATGAAGCCTAAGTACTTCTAGTTTATTCAGACCTTTAATTGAGTACACCAAAATACTTCGCATGGCAATTGTGCTGCTGGTGTTTTGTAATGATATGTGCATAGTTAACAAAGTGCTTTTATACTAACGTGAAAATAGACACATTTATTAGAGTGACTCACACTTTATGCGTAGCATGAAGACGTTACTGGTGCCATGGCCTTCACGGTTCATAGCAATGCACTTGTACCGCCCACGGCGCGACCGGTGCACCTTCTGCATCACCAGTGACCGACTGCTGACGATGACACCAGCGCTGGTGTTTGTGGTGACTTCCTGCCCCTCGAAGAGCCACGTCACTTCATTAGCCGGAGGGTTGGCGTCCACGTCACAGTCAAGGTACACGTCACGACCTTCACGGATGTCATCTTCCCGCAGATTCTGACCTAAGCGAAGTGATGCCAGAGGTTTGTCTGCGTGATAAAAAAGGGCCCAAATATCGTTACAAGCATACCCAGAACATTGTGTTCTCACGACGAAGTTTTCTTTATTGAAGTGGTTGGCTCTGTGTCCTCAGTCCACGGAGCAGGAAGTTTGCCTCAGTCACTCGGTTTGCACAAAACTCGCGGTATATCTCGACGCAAGGTGCAGCCGACGCGACCAGCGTCCGTTGGCCCGCCTGCATCACTATACCTGGCACAGTGCCACGGCACAAACGATTGGACAGATGAACGTGAGCATGAGACGTTAAAGCATTTCGCCTGAATGTTATGGCACAGCTGCATGCAAGTTGTTATACATGGCTATTTAGTGGCTGACAAGCGATTTCTGAATGTAAAGTGCTCAGTCTATTCTGAAGAATTCCAAAGTATTGCTTCAGTATGAAGTTTTAATAAGCCGTACATACTTATGTTTCCAATAACTAGAAAAAATAAAACTTGCATTAACGGTGAGAATTTAATGCATGCTCAGTATTTCCGTTATTTAGCAATCACATAGCAACCAGTTAGAAAAGTTGACCTTAGCTAACGTGCTAGCTCCCCCCAAAGTTCAGCAGCTGAGAAGTATGCAGATTAGCAGTTGGAGGTGCAAATAAGACCCACGGCACGCCATGTTCAAAGCATTCAATAATTACTCAAGAGCCTAAAGCAAACGACCGATGATTCAAAAGCGTATGTTGGAATCTCGCGCCCATCGCTTTCTTCTTTCGCGGAAGTAGCAGCGAAGTGCACCGTGATAATAGCTGTTGCGCTCCTTACCGGCGTAACGTTTCCTTGTGAAAAGGTAATTGCGAAAGTTCTAAAGGAACAATGCTATACTTGCGATGTTCTCTCCCAGTCGGATGAAAACCGCCGGGATTCTTCGATTACCATAGAAATACCTCCATCAGCGAGGTTATGTTAATGACTTGAGCTAAGGAAGAAATCAGAGTCCAAGAGATAGAGGTGACTCTAAGCATATATAGCTTACATGAAAGATTGGCGAGAGTTAAATCGGTCTAAGGTGGCCTAATACAGGCCACCTTAGACCGATATAGGCCGTATAGGCATAGGCCGTATATGTAAATGCCCAGCTAGGTACTTCAATGATTCTGCAGGCCGCACAACTCCTAGATTTGTCCTAATGTATACAGCTGAAGACGCATTAATGCGCACGTGTACACCACAGGGCTTTGAAAATCTTATACGCCGTCACCTGTTGCAAATGTAGGTTCCTGTTAACTCGTGCTAAGCTGCTAATGCTTTGTTTTCAATTTGTTCTTTTTAGCGTTAACTTAAAGTTGTGTTTGTCCAGCAGTGAAGAAAAAAACAGAGACTACCTCTGTGTCCACCTCGAGTAACCCAGAAGATAAGAACCTTCGTAGGTTGGATTACTGCCAAAATTAAATGCCCGAAGGTACCTGCAGTGACTTGGGCAACTGTTCACACAACAAGTTTGACTTCATGCAAGTATTACAGACAAAAAAACGCTTGCGCTAGTTGGCCTTTTACGTAACAACGCACACAAAACACAGACTCCGAAAGGACAATGCACACGAAACAGAAGCATTGATAAAGCTTTGTCAAATAAAAGATGTTCCTGAAGGCGGCACTTGAACAATCTTACTCTTAGTTTTTATTTAAAAAGAAAGACGAAGATTTTTCTTGTTGCCTATGGGCCCTTGTGTATTCAGTTTCATTGTTGTGTATTACGCAAAGGTAGACAACTTTCCCAAAACACTAGATACCCTTCAAAAGACAACTTCCTTTCAGGAAGTTTTGGTTCCAGAGACGTTCAGACGGTCGGAAAGTAGTTTCAGTACTTCAACGAGAAGCCAGGGAATCACGGTAAGTTGATCACCATTTGGTGAACTTTTGCACTAATTAAGCAATTTCCAAGAAGCTGTTAGCTCTAACAGCAATGCACACACTTGCACTTCCCCGTCGACTAACTGAAACCTAAAAGAGAAAGAAAGCATACGTCTGATTTGGTACGTACCAATTGTTTTCTGAGGCCATACACCCGATAGCTTTCGAGTGGACTGAATGTTTTTATTAATGCAACAGGCTAAGCCTTTACAAGCCTCTACATACTGAGCCATAATCCGTGTCATGGCCCCCACCTCTGCAGTATCTGATGTCCTCTCACAATGGCTGTCCAACCTTCATTCAAGTTATTGCTGGTGGTAGTTACGTTGCGCCCGTACTTCTTCCGGCATATATTAGTCACAATTTCGACTAGATATGGCTGCGCGCGATACCACTGTAGCATGGACGCTAAAGTGGCTTAGGAAATGTTTGATATTTTACATAGATATTACTGACCATAATCGGACGCTTTCTTTTAACCAATTCTTGGTACTAAAAAAGTGGATAGTGCTAGGAACAGAACTCATCCAGGTATACGGCGTGATATGCATTCACGTAGCGTATTTATTTAACTTCAGATGCATAGAAAAAGTGGGCCCACAAATTATAATAAAAAAGTAAGTTTTGCAGTGAAATGTTGAAGAGAGAACAGGCTGAAGTGAAACAACTACAATAGGCTGGTTAACTTATTGTACCGGACAAGAATGAAGATACACTTTTGAGAGGTGTTCTGCAGTACGCTGGCGAAATGAATGTGGTATCCTTGAATATAAAGGTAGGGTGGCAGAAAGAGAGGGGTTGGTAGAACCGGTGAATATTTCACTTTCTCCTTTTTCTCCTGTTCCTTCCTTCGCCTAACTGCAGAGCAGTTCTAGAGCTGGCCCGCACGACAGATGACAGTCCCCGGTAATCACACTCCAGATTACAGGTACTGCTATAGATGGCGTAACCATCCCGGTTGTGGATGGCCGGGAAGCATGACTTGCGCTTCCACAGAACCTGAAGAAGCCCCTTCAAAAAGTGGTTTTCAGATACGCCAAATGATACAGTAATCGCGTCCGTCCTGAACGAAGCGTTAGCTGAGCAGTCAAACGAGCTAATGTGGCTCGAGTGTGAATCACAGATTGTCACAGAATACGGTAAGGAAAGCCTCACAGAAGGTTTTGAAGCTCAATAGTTGGTTACAGTACTTGAACATTACTGAAACCGCACCACGACGACGCAGACGAAGAGAAAAGCTTTGCGGTGTGTCGTCTTTTTCTGTTCGTTGCACCGTCTCAAATATGTTCAAGCAGAGGAAGACCACATCTCCGGTATTTCTTCGACCTTTACCCTGGATAGAACTGGGGTAAACGTTTTTCTATGAATAATCACTCTCCCGTACAAACGGGTAGACTCACAGAACACGTCTAGCTTCCATCCCTCTTCGATGGCACTGCCTTGTATAAACTGGTTCTCGGCCCTGCACGAAAGCACTGCGCCGTTGTCTTCTCTCCTGGGAGTGAAGAGTAGAACGCTCGAGCTGGTTCCTTCATGGTTGTTGCCGCCCTGATGCTCCTTAGCCGAGAGTAGCTGTTCGTCTCCCTTCCACCACGTAAGCAGTGCTGGAGGACGCGAGCCAGTGGATGAGCAGACCAGCTCCACCGGATGACTCGCTGACAGCGGATGGCGAGGAGGCTGGATGGCCACGTCCAGTGGTATCACTGCATGTTTAATCGATGGAAACTGTGTAGAATTTCATGCTCGAGATGTACAGAGCCATATAAGTGCTTCTGCTTTTTTTAAAACGCCCAAGTTTACGCGGCCGTTATTGGGAACAGTGAATAACCAGGGCTTTATTGGGCATTCGCTTGTGTATGTGAGTGCATGGGCTATGAATATTCTTTTTGCTGCCTTATTTCTACTTTAAAACACTTCCTCCTTCTTCATTGCGTCGTATTCTCGTTAAATAACCCGCCTTTCTGGTTCGGGTTCTCCCCTGATGTTTGACGTACCTTTACTATTTCTCTTTTGATGCTGAAGCCTCAAAACTGTAACGGCTGCGATTATGGCTGATCTATGTGCCTCTACAACCGAAATGTACCTAGGATAAGCGTATCAAGTTTTCTGAGGTTATTCAAAAATAAATGACAGACTGAAATTTGCAAAGATTAAAAATGCGCTTTCAAAAGAGCACCTGCATGGGAAGTGCGACTGAAAATCAGCAATATTGAAAGATCATGTGGGAAGTAGCAACATTTTTTTCAAAAAAATAAATAAAACGGCAAACGGTAGTAGAATGTTGTAGCTGACCTATAACGAGATTTCCTCATATAGCTACCCTTGTTTGCGCAGGCTACAGCAAAGAGTCTAGAAACCGGCAAGTTTTCTGCGCAACTTAACTATCATGAACTAGGAAGAAAACGTATTGCGATAAATATTACATAGTAACCTCAGTCATTAGTGATGACATTGATTTGATTTGACTTATTGTTTTCTATTTACACAGATGTGGTAAATGGAGGTGGGTGAGGGCAAAACCGCACAAAGGCGGCTTGTGGGAGACTTCACCCTCTTAGTGCAGTATGGCTACTTTCATATAGTTATGCGTAAAGCAGACACGTCTTTCTCCAAGTTTGAGGCAGTGAGAAACACTCCCTTAGATATTTCTTCATTTTTGCCTGTCGGTGCACAATTTGGGGTCAGCTTTAGTTGTTTTTATAGTTCAGGTAACCATTCCATCAAAAGCATATGCTCCAACATGGTCCTTAAGTCATTGAAACCTACATATCATCAACAAAAACAAATTCTCAGTTTAAAACTCCTTGAGGTTGTACTCACACTCCATTATAAAAATTTCACAATTTCGATGAACGAAGTTCCCCTAAGCTAATTTGAAGTGCTTTGCAGTAGCATAAATCAGAACGAGCAAGACAAAAAGAGAGATGGATTGAGCTCGGCCTTCAGAACAAAGAAGTGAAAGCTAATGTGCGAAGTCAAAGCGGTATGAGTTGAGGGTTGGAGGAACACCGTAAAACCTGACTTGATAAAGGCAGCAATTAAATTATTGAGCGCCGGCAAACGAACGCAGCAATCACTTAAGCTCTACGAGAACCGCTGTAACCACAAGCTCATTTCTAGTATTAAGGTATTCCTTGTTAATTTTGGTCATTATGCTGCATTCCGCTTTCATCTAGCATGGTACGTTCGCATCTAGCTGCTTCCATTCAGGCACCATAGCGGGCAAGAGAAAGACAAAGACTTTTGTCAATATCAGAAGTGAAAGGGAGAATTAAGGGTTGTTACATAAACTTCGGATTCTTTTTCCTCTTTGTTATTCATCTCGGAGCTACTTTCTAAACCAATGAAGAGTGACTCAATAAACAATTGTATCGGGCCAGTTGGTATGAATCCATCTTGGTAGGAAGCGCAGCAACTATTACACAGAACACACAACACGAGCGCTTGTGTTGTGTGTTCTGTGTATTAGTTGCTGCACTTCCTACCAAGATAAAATGAAAAGTGACTGCGCAGCATTGGTCACTGCACGCTTTTTCCAAAAGGAACGCCTTCGCAGGGATAGCTTACGCACTGGTGAACGGAAAGGAGGGGACCGAGGATAGCAAATAAGCGACAAGCTTCGTACAGCTGCTGCCACCATTATAGCGGAACGATGAGTGAGAAGGGATATACGGCAGGGGTCCTAGCCCGCAATAACGCGTTAATTGAAAACTGGCTCTTCGGCGGGTGCTCCGCAATTCGCATTATGACGGAGTGGTCCGCCGCATTTCCAGCCCGATCCCTTCGCGTACCTATCGCCGGTTTTCCCGGAAAGCTCTGACACGGAAGAACACGGCGGGAAAACGGCGAGCTGCTCATCCAAAAGCTTCGGTGGTTGGGAGCTATAACTGCACCCCCAGTAAATGGGTTCGCAGCTATCTGGCGTGAAAGCGTGCGCTTCGACAAGCCAGAGGAGCACGCACTTGCTAAACATCGACACGATTGAGGTTAACGATGAGATAGTGTGTTCCTGAGTACGACGTACTTATAAAGTTTGATTATACGCATAACTAGCCCACGCCATATTGTATATATAGGCGTAGTTAGAGCACTTTATGACAAGTACTTTGTGTTGGTGCCTTTAATTAGAGAACTTCACTACCGACTGTGCGAAGCTCCGGACTAAGTTAGGAAAGTTAACGAAGGCTGTCTGAAAAAAAATTGTTACGCACTGCTTTTATGAATTTCATCGCTCATATTGCACTGCTCGCCAAGCCTTTTTGTCGGCTTTGTTTCGGTGGAATATTCAGATTTTATTATTCTTAACACTGTCAAAGCGTGGGTAAATGAATAGCCTAATGTGTATGTGCGCTTCAAAGAAGAATAGAGCTACTGACTTAATCAAAAAGTGAAACTAACTTTCTTGGCCTGCGTGCAGTTATGGACGCTGATTCTGCATGCTTCCATTCACAAGTGTAATCTTCATTTATTCTTTTGTAAATAGAAAAAGTTTATCTCACGGGCCTTGCCTCCGCAATTCCTCTAAAAGCGAAAAATCATGCATGGTCCCTTTCTTCAGTGCTCTAAGCGCATCTTAGCGTGTTAGCTTGCTTGTATCGACGGTGAGAAATAAGGCAAGAAAAAAAAAGGGGGGAAAGATTGTAGCTGGTTTGCTACCCCACATTGCGAAGGGGAAACACGGATCTAACTCATGACTGGGAGATTCACGGTGGTTGCGAGTTGTTTAACACAACCGCGTTTTATGCCAGGGTTCACTACGGCTCCGCTGACGTATTTCCCTCACGGATATTACGTTGTGAAATATATGCTACCGCACTGCTTAGAAGAAAACGAGACGGAAGTTTTCTGTCGCGGGGCACCGAACCACCAACCTCTCGAATTGCAGTGCGTGGCGTGGCTAACACCACTAGGCCACCGTCAAGCACTGCTGAGACTGCCAACGGCAAGCAATTCATATACACCATATACCGTTCGGCGGCACTGACAACTTCACAACTTCAGCGCGTTTTCGTAAGCAATGGTGAAATGGCACGATGTCCTCGACGTGTGTTCGGCAGGCTCATAAGGCCGTCTTCTCCCTTCCTCCACGACTCTCGCGTTTCGATGAGCGCCGGGTCTCTCCTGCGCGCGTGCTTATCGGACTCACGATTATGGAGAGCACGAAGGTCACTTCACTCACTGCCGCGGCCGCGTTTACAAAAAGAACACGCAGCTGGCACACAAGGTAAAGATTGTGACTTTTCGTGCTTGTCCTGAGTATACCTGTGTGTTCGTTTTCGTGCATCCTTCTTTCTGCTTGAAACACGCTGCTTCAAAAGTCGAGTTGTGACAGCTGTGTGTCCTGCGCTCGTCCTGTGTATGCTAATTTCGTGCGTGATTCCTGCAAGAGGTGTACACTCTGAAGTTTTGAACTGCTTGCTGTTCTTCGTGTGACTATGGAATTTGTTGCTGTAGGCATTTATTCATTTGCCTTTGTGCACAAAACAGTTGCACGATAAACGCTCAACTACCTCTGTGAAGACATGTTTCAGCTTTCGTGTTATACCGATTGCTGAAAAAAAAAACAGGGATTAGCCGACGTTTTCTTCTCTAATCTCTCTCCAGCTTGAATTTCTACTTCCCTCTAGATATTATTGTTCTCTTGGAATATGTTGTTTACTTACTGAGCCTAACTGCGTGTTAAACATGTTAGTTTACGCTCAGAGCTCATACGCAGGCTGCATTCAGGATTATGAGTAATTAGCGCCGCTGCCCGTAAGTATCTCTCTTTACCAACTAGCCACTTTATTTCATTCAACTGACATACACAAATATATATTAGGATATCCTAATGCATTCCAGTGACTGAAGAAGTGAGAATATGGATGGTATGCGATACTCACAGTTCATATCCAAGGTTATCGTTCTTGACACTGCCACAGTAACGTTGTTGTTTGCCGCCTGACAGGTGAGCACGCTGAGAAAGTCCGAGCGCTTGAGTTCGCCGATCTCAAGCCAATTGCGAGCGACAGTGCCGTCTCCTACAAAGCTGAAGTTCGAGTCCACCAGCCGCTTGTCTCGCCACCAGGTGACAACAGGACGAGGCTTTCCTGTGATATGTACAATGGTAATTGCGTTCATGTGTGTAAAACTACAAGATATAAAAATATCGCATTCGAATTGTTTTTTTTTGGTTGAATGAGGCATTTGCAAATATGCATCTTAAGTGCGCCGCTGCTGTACTGTAATGTAGAGATGGGAAGAAAAAAAACTCGTGGGTTTCAGGGACCTGGTACAATAGCATTTACTTGTTTCTCAGTAACAATAAATTTGCGAGTACATTGTCTGCTACGTCTGTTTCTTATTATTACAGCCTTTCTTTTGTGTATTTGTTAATCAACAAATTCAGGTGACTGTCCTTGATGAACTGGTGACATCTTGAAAGTTAATCTTACAGTAACATCACCGAGAGAAACTTGTGAGTTAAGCCTAAATAATCGTGAAGAAAAAGCCAATAATTAAATGTATACTGGCACAAACATTTAAGTGTGGTACTTTTTGCCGCATTATATTGATGGATTTCTAAACGTCGTATAACAACACATCGATTTCTGCAGCTCGTGGCAGAAAACTACAGTATGTTTATTACCGACCAGTCGTAGTGTCGGTTTGGGACGTCAAGCCGTGATGTGCCACTAATGCCATCTAGCGTGTGAAAGGGGCACAGAATTGTTATGCACTCGGTCTTGCTTGCGTCATCTGCTCCTGTTCTTTCGCATGCGGCATCTGGAACTCGATTTCATCATCGTCGTCGTTGTCGTTATCACCGAAGCTTCAACACATCTGTGGAAGCTTCAGGTAAGTCTACAGGTAAATGGAAGATGATATCCGTATGTGTGCGACAATCAATTCCACTGGCTGTCTCAGCCATGGAGCTTTGAGTCGGTACCGCTTTATAAAACTTGAATAAATCTGTCATCTTATGAGGAAGTGGACTAAGCGGCATTTGGAATTACCTCCCAAAGGTACAAATGAGGTGTCTAATAAAAATAACACACAAGACATCAAACTGAATAACTCTTTCAACTTTTCCACAATTTCTTTTCCTCCTTAAGTGTGATGCTTACAAAAAAACAAGCGAGGGAAACAACATCAGTAGAAAAGAGGCGGCTGCAGAGTTGTTGCTGTCACGTTAACAACAAGTGCGCCATCTTTCGAAGGACTCTTTGGGACGTTTTTTTTAGAAAAGGACTGATTTTAAAGCCAACGCCAGGGAGCCAAATGACGTTGATCAGTTTAAAAACCAAGGTAATAATGGTAATAGGAGATATGAAGGAAGTGACGTCAGGTTGTGAAGAAGAAAAGCGAGGGAATATTTAAAATTGATATATAAAGAGAATGATGTCTTGTATTTTTTTTTTCGAATCGTTTCTACTAACCTCCCTCCACCTCGCAAAGAAGCCTAAGGTTTCGTCCTTCGCTGAAGCGGCCGACGAGGCCTTCCAGCTTGCGTCCGTCTTCGTCCATTATAACGGGATCACCTGGAGGCACTGCATGAAGGAATAGTGACCATTTTTTCGTGTTATCGTACCCCCTCCCCCATGATAAATGTGTTTACTCAAGTGACAGTTAACATGAGGAACTAGAGGGCACACTGAGCTAAATCAGACCTCACGTTGTGGAACCACGCGATAACGTGCGCGGTAGACGTGTACCTTATAATTCACTGATACGGCATGCTTATGTGTTAAAAAGGTTGGCACAGTAATTCATGCTTCACTTGAATTTCATCACGCACTACCGTTTTTCCCGAAAATGACGACGGGAAGGAACATATCAACAAGAAATTATAATTTTTTTCGTGATTAAATGCAAATATGAGCTTCCATTGTAGGAAACAAATTATGTATATGAGACACGCGATTTTTGAATGCTATGGAGTCAACGCATGTTGTATGCGTTTATTTGCGCTATAAAACTTTTTTGATCACATCAAATGTAGCAAACTGATATAATGTTTTGTATTACAGTAGTGTTTATTAAAATACTAAGCAAGCAAATCTCAATTAAAAGTATGGGCACTTGCAGCCACAGCATTCTTATAGTTTATCAAGAGATAAGAGG